GGACCGGCAGGAAATATCATTTAGATCCCCAGTGTTCTACACTGACCCAGTCGACAGATCTCAGAGATTTCGATTACTGCTCGATGTGCGTGAACAGAGTTACACCAGCTCACCGGCGACCGCACGGTTCAAGTGGAGGAACCTAACTACATGATTTGTGCTTTTCCAGCGTATGCTTTCAAGAAGCTTTTTATGCTGGGCACTTCCACCGGTGTGAATTTGTGGCCCACAAATCGGTCATCTCACGCTGCTACTCGGGTTCGAATGCAGGGCCCTTGAGTCACGCTCATAGACTACGCAAAAAGGGGCTTTCATGTCCACACCTCACTTCGTTTTTCTCCACTGACCTCGAGCGCATTGGGGACCTGACCTTGGTTTGTTGACCTAGGTTTTCACACTCCCCTTTTTTGGCTTTTGCCAAAAACCTGAGTGGCCTCACTTGGGCCTCAAGGCTCAAGACTCTGGTTCATCATCTCAAAAGCTTCATATTCGCTATCCGTTCTGGTGATCCTGTACTCGCATGGACCAATGCGGATTTCATCCGACCAGTCACTGTGGACTGCGTTATCCACCTCAGGTGGCTTGTCAGCCTCAGCCAGGGCAGCGAAGGAGTTCAAACCCGTTTGCGTTGGTCCTCCCACTAGCTGGGCGGAATGTAGGTGTCACCATCAGCGGAGACGCTTGATCGGCCACTCGGCCACGAGTGGATCCCAGCTGAGGGCGAGGCAGCGATTGATCGCTGCTCGCACTTCCATCCTGAGCCATTGTGGAGTCGAGTAATTTGTCGTTGTAAGTCGGCATCGAAGATGACAGAGTGCCACTTCCAGAGGACCCCTGCGGTTCTCCAGCCGCTGCTCCATGGACCGTGAGGTTCTCCGCCAAGTGGTTGGTCCCCAGTTCACCGTCAACTCAACTCTCGGCACCGCGGGTTCTCAATCCGAAGAGCTTTGCGAACGAGTTCATCCCGGTGATATAGTGCACTTCCCACTTGGAGCGAATGGTGTGTCATGTTCATTGCCTTGGTGGAGCTTTAGTTGACGAGTTGTGTCCTCCAGCACTTCTTTGAACCCATGGGTTATTTTGTTCCACCGCTCGACCACGGGTAATGGTGGTGACTGTTTTGGAGTCACCCCACATGCCTGTCCACTCTCGCCTGCAAAGATCTGAGGTGGCGTTGTGCTCCACTCCTCGGAACTGCGGCGGTGGTGGTGGTGTTGGCCTGGCTGCTTTTTGGCGTTTTCTCCAGAGGCGCTGGCCTCAATGCCATCTTCTCCTTCAAGGTTTCCACCTCCCTTCGGAGTTTATCATTTTGGCGCCAGAGTTCTTCCACATCTCGGCTTTAGGGCCCTGTGTAGGTCACGTTCAGATCTAGGTCTTCGTGGCGTCTATGATCGCTTCGTCGTTGGTGTTGAGGATGATGACCCGGACCCTGATACCCCTGGGTTTTTGCGCTTCATGGTGGTTCCCACAGGTTCCTTTAGAGCGCTGTTATCTTTCATGGTTCCGATCCAACTCGTCTGTGGCATGGGGGGGTCCTCCAGAGCTTTGTGCGTCTCCATTCCGCGTGTTTCCACCTTTGGCCAACCAGGTTCGATGTTGATGGTTTTCTCCATGTTTACAAAGTCAGGCTCCTTCTCACAATCTTGATGATCAGCCCTTCCACCATCACATGCACTGTTTGCCCGCTGCACTACCGAGGTATACTCCTGGTCATGAGCTTCTACGCTTCCTGCTCCACGTCAAGGCTCCGCGCGAAGCTCCTCGGATCCAGCAATGGCGCTTTCGTTCTCACCTTCCGGGCAAGGCCTCTGGCTGGCCTCCAACAAAGCAGTGCGCTCTTGGATGTCCTTGGACCTGTCTCAGACAGGGTGGTCTTTCTGGACTCACGATGCCCGTGTTGGGCTCACAACCTGCAACGGAATTCGCAGGCTTGTCGAGCGACCAAAGAGTGTTCGACGATGTGACGTGTTGTCGCTGCACCTTATGGCACGCTCCATGGATTCAAAAGGTGAGTGCAAGCACAGGTGATCCCGTGTTCACTGATGCAGAAGGAGCTCTGACGACAAACAGTGATGTAGCCTCTTCAACCCCCTACCGACGAAGGCGAGGGTGGGGACAAGCCGAGGCAGCTTTAGACTGCAGGGCCTTGCCCACCGCAACTCAGGGGCTTGGAACATTCTAGCTGTGACCACCTTTCTTTGCAGACAAAGTGATGGAGGAAGGGATGAATATATATTTATATAGCCAATGACGCAAAAGTTTTGATTGCGTAAAACAAATCAACCGTTCGTTTTGGCCCATTTTCACAACATGCCGATGTTGATGAAATTGTTCTTGCACGCTTGTTGGCAAAGAACATGGTGAAGTGGTCTTGAGTCTGGAATGTGCTGCGCGTGGTTGTGTTTTTGGTGACAACGCGCATGGGAACATAATGACACACACATATACATATGTATAGGAAACTTGTTGCCATAGAATTAGAAGCGGATGCTGACGTTTGTAACGTCCGTTTACAATCCTGCAGATTAAGGTGAGCAAAGGAACCATCAATGATGAACAGCGCGATAGCACCAATCTCATGCAGTGGGCGTCAAAGGAATGGCCAACTTTGGCATGCAAGTGAGTGGGAAACCATTTGTTCTCCCAAGAAGCGAAGCCTGTACACGTCCACTAATGCTTCATCCAATAATCTTGCACTGCTTCGAGATTGACATTCTGAGGAACATTTCGATGGGCGCCGGGCAATGTCAAAGTTGAGCAGCCGTGGATGTGGGGCCAGAAAGCGTGCTACGGTAATTAAGAAACCAAACATTCAACGACCAACCATCAAACCAAAGGTGACGAAGCCGCGGGTGCAGGAGGGATACCTATCAAAAAGAAAATTAATTCCTACCAAAAAGAAAATTGATTCCTATCAAAAAAGAAATTAATTCGTATCAAAAACAAAATTCCCCCTGCTCCTTTGGTCCTGGTCTGCTGGTTCCCTGGTCGCTTGGTCCTTTGGTCCCTTGGTCCTCTGGTCCCTTGGTCCCCTCATCCCTTGGTCTGTCTGGTCCCTTGGTCCTCTGGTCCCTTGGTCCTCTGGTCCCTTGGTCCTCTTGGTCCTCTGGTCCTTCGTCCTGGTCTTCGGGTCCTTGGGTCTGTACTTTCGAGGCAAGGCGCGTTAAAGGTGATTTGGAAATCTGGTCATACATCCTGTGAAGCACCGTAGCAGACCTTTTATCGCCAGACGTAGCACACCTTTTTTGTGAGCCACCCTGAAGGTAAAATTTAGACGAAGAAAGTGCCATTCCAAGGTAGCAAACCTTTTGTGAGCCACCTGAGGGCAAAATTTTGAAGAGGAAGGAGCCATTCCAACGTTGCAGACCTTTTGTTAGCCTTGCGAGGTCGAAACTTAGAGGAAGAAGTTGCCATTCCAACGTAGCAGGCCTTTGTTTTGTGAGCAACCCGAGGGTAGAACTTGCTATTCCAACGTAGCAGACCTTTTGCGAGCCACCCGGGGTTAAACTTCAGGTGCCACGCCAAGGTAGCAGACCTTTTGTGAGCAAAATTTAGAGGAGCAGTAGACCTTTTGTGAGCCATGCGAGGGCAAAATTTACAGGAGCAGAACTGTTGTCAGCATAAACTTTAGAGGAGGAAGGTGCCATTCCAACATAGCAGACCTTTTGTGAGCCATCCACAGGTCTTGTGGTTTTGTGAGCCATCGTGAAATTCAGACAGATCACGGTTGAGATGCAGGGGAGGTGTTGAAATCTAAGTTCTATACTTGCAGAGGGTGTAGAAAGATGTTCAGATCCAGAGATATCAAGAGCTCTTTTCACAGGTCTTCAGATCCACAGAATTTTACAAACGCCACGCAAACTGCACTACAAGGTTCGCAATCGCTGCGCTTGCCACGAAGTCTGCGCTGATAGACGGAGGTTCACGCAATCTGCACTTCGAGGTTCACGAAGTGCTGCGCCCGCCATGAAATCTGCAGTTCCGGTGCACAAAGTGCTGCACCTGCCACGAGCCCTGCAACTGAAGGTGCTCAAAGTGCTGCGCGCAAAGTGCCGCTCCTGCCACGAAACCTGCTACATGGAGGTGCTCAAAGTGCTGTGCCTGCCACGAAATCTGCGCTTCCAATGCGCAAAGTGCCGCTCTTGCCACGAAACCTGCTACTGGAGGCGCTCAAAGTGCTGCAGTGCACAAAATGCCGCTCTTGCGACGAAATCTGCTACTAGAGGTGATCAAAGTGCTGCGCAGGCCACGAAATCTGCAGTTCCAGTGCACAAAGTGTCGCTCCTGCCACGAAATCTGCCACTGGAGATGCTCAAAGTGCTGCGCGCGCCACGAAATCTGCGCATCCAGATTCACATCGCGCAGCGCTGCCAAGGCGGTTTGCAGTGGCAGGCGCAGCTCTTTGTGAGAGATATTTTGTTTTTGATACAAATTAATTTTCTTTTTGATAGGATATAGAAATTTTCTTTTTGATATATATCAATTTTCTTTTTGATAGCCCGGCCGGTGCAGGAGGTGCTCAATTGAAACAAATTTGTCGATGTGAGGAACGACAAACAGGTTCTACATCAGAAACAATGTGCAATGGACTTCAAACAGTATCAAACAAAAACCCTGCAATTTTTTTCCGCCTGTTTTCCATTGCCATAAATATGCATATTTATAAATATGTAACTTTCTCATTGGTTGGGTATCTCGCCTGTGTTTTTTTGAAACAAATGCACATATATACAAGTTTTGCATTTGTACTTCCACTTAGAGGTGGTGGAAGTACACAGTAAATGCAAACTTGTATATATTGTTGGAAGGTGATTTGTGTGGTGTGCAGGGGTTTGTGTTGTGTGCCACGATGCAAATCGGCGACGGTCTGTTCGAGTGTTGAAGATGGTCCGAAGGATGGTGATGCTCGGGGAGACAGGAAGTTAATGCACCCTCAAACAACTGATTCAAATGCTTGCAATGTCAAGAGCCTTTGGCTGTTTGTGGCGATGCCTTCTGAGGCCATTCCCAATGCCCAAGCGTGGATCTTAAAAGTCGATTTCCATTGTCATCTCAGCTGCCTGACCATTTCACCTCCTTTGCCATCAGATTCAGGGCGCTGAGAACGGTGTGGCAGGTAGACCAACTTCTTTGTGCGGGGGGGGGGGCGGGGAAACATTGCTAGGTGTGACAACAATGGCGTTGTTTCAAAGAGCCCATGTGAAAACACCTCGAGGCTCCCATGCGAGACGAAGACGTGGTCCATATTCAGAAGGAGGATGTTTGGGTAAAGTTCAACTTCAGGCAGGGACCTCCGAGTCAAATTCAATGTTCAGTACGTGATCCTCCAAGTCAGCCTCCCAGCCGTCCAATCGTGTGTAATTTCAACTCCTCGCAGAGCACAGCACTCCTCACCCTCCCACTCGCTCTGGTGTCAGAGAGCCAAGAAGCAGGACCCCCAAGCTGACGGAGGCAATTCTGAATGTGACGCAGCGCAAAAACGGGGACGGAGGGACAGGGGGGAAATGGTAGGGGGGTGAACGCGTTCTGATTGTTGTGACGGAATCATTTGGGTGATGAGGGGGCCACGGACTGATAATTAATCATTTTTGTGTCGCCTTCTTGGTGGAAAGACCGAGGTTGTAAGACGACAGGCAAAAATACATCCAAGCAATCTATTGTTTTGTATCTCCTGTTTCTACAACGACAGCATGCCTTTCGCCACCACACCACACCTCTATAGAAACAAGACATAAATAAAGAGCTAGAGCAGCTTTTCAGCTGTCACATCAACGCTTTCTTTGGAGCTACCGTGAGTTGCCCATGTGTTCAAAAGAGACAGGAGCAGCAGGAAAGACAGACATTTCTTTTGAGTTTTTTTTGGGATGCCAGTTGCTTTGGCAAGTTCTACCCGGTTTGGCAGTAACACTGCTGCTTTTACACCTATGTTTGGTGTAAGGGACGTCCCAAGAGTTCCCCTGTCATTGGTCGCGTCTCAGGGGTTTCAACGTCTTGATCCACAAGCAACACTAGACTTACTAGATCCTTTGGATGTGTCCAGCCATTTGGCCATGGGCCATGTCTCACCAGCCATTCTGATGTGGCTCGAGTGAGGTCATAATAATGAGTGGAGTCATACTGACGATGTTGGCCGTGACCTTGGAGTTCCAAATCGGCAGTCTTCTTCCTTCGGACTGTTCTGAGACCTAGTATGATGCCCAAAAGGAGTATTCACATCCACTTAGCAGTTTCACCAATCTTTCACTTTCACCATTTGCACAGCTTTCAGGTATTTCAACAAAGTAACTGGCTGACCGCCAAATGAGTTCTGTAGAATGTGCAAGTGCCAAAGTGCTTCCAGCACTAGTTTAAGAAGATGTTGTTTGGACTCTGTCGTGCTTGAACCTGCTCAGCTACACCCAGTCCATTCTAGCTTTGTTAGGTCGGTGCAGCTTGTGTATCCTCAGCTGTTTCCCACACCGCTCCTTGGATGCATCGAAGTGCAGCACGACGTCGTTGAGGACCCATGGATCCTCCAAGTCCGCAGTTGGGCTCTGAAGCTCTGAAGGGCAGCTCTGAAGCATTCTGAAGCTGAACAAATGGAAAACGACGGGTCCAAGCTGCTCCAGGTCCTGTCTCCAATCCAAGACCTCCTGGAGATCGATCGAGCCCAAGGTTTTCGTTGGTCTCTCTCACTCAAGCGCAGCCGTAGTGGACTAGATGCTGATGTAGAAGTTCAGGATGACTTTGATGGAGCATTTTCTTTGCGATCTCAATCGTAGTTTTGTGGTGCAATTTCTGAATATTCGTGAATATTCTGCTTCCTGCTTGGCTGCCCAAGTCGATTCACATCATGCTAGCATTCTTGGCTGACCAGGTCCATTCCACCGCCATTCAGATCTTTGAAGCTGTGGAACAAATGGCAATCTACTTTGTCAAGGTGGGAGGCTTTGACTTCCGGTTCTGGAAGACTGGAAGATGAGAGAAACAGAACTTGGTGGAAGGAGCAAAACCTTTTCCACCACAGATGGTGATTTATGCGCTGATGTGGAACACCGATCGGCAGTCTCTGGTTTTTGTGCCCATCCTCGCAGGATTACTCGAACCAGCAGTGGCGGGAAATGGTGACCAAGGTGGGAGCGAGTTGACCTGAGTGTAGAACGTACCCCCGAAAGTCATCAAAAAGGCTTTCCCAATAAGTTGTTCTAATTTTGCTTGGTATTGGCTCAATATTTTCCATCAAGTTTATGTGTGAATTTGAATTGGAAAGGGATCCTAGGTCTGAAAGCGGAAAAGAATCGGGATCGTGAAGGTTTTTTTGAATGCTCAAGTGGAAGTAGGAAGATCCAATCTAGTGAGAGCATTTGCAAATGGGTTTGAATTGCACATGCATTTCGTTGGGGATCTAGCATCACGAAAGGGCTTCGGCTTTATTGAGAGCTAACTGTTTAGTTGATTGCAAGAACATAAGCAAAAGGAGGTGCAGTGACTTCGAGTAAGCACACGTTAGAAGCTGTGAGCTTCGAGCTCTGTTTAGTGCTGGGTTTTATTTGGTGCCTAGGTATGGGGGCGATTTTGTCCGTGATGTTCGAGAAATATCATGGACTCCTCAAGAAAGGAGTGTGTAATTGATCCGATTTTTGAATGTGTGAATAGCCATAGGTTCCCTTGGCAGAGAAGGTTCTCATCTTCACCTGACACAGGGAGTTCATCTTCTTCCGACCTGTTCTCCCAAAGATTCCCTAAGCTTTTTTGTGGCTCCCAACTTGTTGAGCTACATTGCAAGATCACAAAAGTTGGTGTTGCCACATCTTTGGGCGGGCCCTACCCGGCCCTCTCCCCGTAAACTACCTTGGGATGAGACCGGCGACGGGCTCGCAGGACGTGAACACCAACCGCTTTGCTCACGAGGTGCAGCTTCTCTCCAAGGCCCCGAGTCGATTCTTTCAGGACAGAAAAGGCGGAGCGACCTCCTGGGACCTCCTTGGACAGTTGGCCAGGTCTTGAAAAAGTTGGATTTGCTGACCATCATCGCCAATGCCAAGAGACCTGTGGATGAATTCGAGCAGCTAGGCCCGGCAAGGGACAGTTTGAAGAGGTTGGTCGCTGAAGCTGGAAGGGCCCAACATGGGGGCCGTTTTGGGTTCTATTGCCGGTTCACCCATCCTACTAAGCTGTGACTGAAGAAGTGGCATCTTGTAAACAAACACAAGTGCATGAATCGGTACTTTGTTGGATGGGTGGCTGCTGAATGTGGGTTCGAAGTCTAGGTGCTTTTTTTCAGATCGCCACGTATGGATGGTTCTGGGAATTGGATTTGGGGAATGTCGTCGCAGGTGATGGGCCTTCCTCCTTTTTGCAGGATTTCGCCACGTGTGGTCTGGCATGTTGGGGGATTTGCCAACTGCAACAGATTTGGCCGCACTCGCAGCGTTAGGCCGTTAGGCGGAGATGATATGGCAAGCGATCATGAAACTGCAAGGAACCGAGCTTTGAGGGATAGATAGGAGTCTTAACTCATCTAGAACAAGACTATCGCAGCGAGGTTTTTGACGTATCCGAAAGCAAGTCTTGGACTCTGTGAGAATTGCCAGGTATGCAGCTGTCCGGCATCGGATGACCTTGCCACGTCCTGACACTTGGCCTTGCAGTTTTAGCAAGGTGACAAGGTGCGTTGACACACACACACACAAGGATCACTAGTTGTGGTCGGATGTCCATCGACCATCCCTAGGACCCCAGGACCATCTGACCTCTGGGCCTGAGAAAAACTCTTGTAACTCCGAGTTAAGCATACCCATCGGATGGCCGACTTCAGCCCACTCTGAAATCAATGGGACAATGGCAATGGACATATTTCAGAATTAATTGCAATTGGTTATGGGTCTTATGGGTCTTGTTCTTTGACAATTGTTCTTTCCCAATCTCTTGTCGTCGCCACTATTGTCTTTATCACGATCACTGTTCTGCCAAGGAAGGGCAAGTTGAATTGGATGAGACTGAGCAATTGATGTCAGCCTGAGCTTGTATTCATTATTGTTTCTGGTTTCTTTCATCAAAAGACTGGTTGACCGAATCGTGCATGAATTCACAACTCTGCATTCCGACTTTTCCTGTCCACCTAGAGCTCCAACATGTTTCTTTTGCTGATGTGTGCTGTTTGTTGCTTTTGCCTGATTCCAAACTCCTTCTCGCGTTCTCTTCGAAGCGGAGCTGTGCGCCAGGCTTATGCAATGCATTGGCCAAGAACTTGCTCCAGCGCGACGCCCAGAGATGGGCAGAGAGTTGGCGTTGACATCGCCGACCTGGGGCAGTCTGGTTTGGAACGTTTTTGAGAGGCAACAGAACCTATCATTTTGTATTTCCCCACCTGCCAGGTGAGGGTTGTTGGATTTTATCAGAGCTCTCCTCCTCCTCTCTCCTCTCCTTGACTACCGCACCTCAACTGCAAGTGCATGATCGCAGTGGGCACTACCGGACCTCAACAGCAAGCGCCAGATCGCAGTGGGCACTACCAGACCTCAATGGCAAGTGCCATCTGCCAGTGGGCACGACCAGACCCCAACCACAAACACACAATCACAGACACACAAGTACAGACACAAACACAACCACAAACATACAACCACAGACACACAACCACAAACACACTCACAATCACAAACACACAGTCACAAACACAACCACAAACACAATCACAAATACACAGCGACAATCACAAACACAACACAGAACCACAAACACACGCGCCAGCCAAAAGTTGATTCGCCCAAGAGTGCCGCCGGATGATTATTTGTATGAGCCACCAGCAGAGGCGGAAACGATGAAAATGCGTTTGATTCGTGGCCAGCCTTTGACAGCTATGCCTGGTCATCGTCGAATTCACACACTGTCAGCAGAAGGCGCAAGTGAGCTGGAGTTGGATGGAGACGCTTGGCGGCCGTTGTATGTGCAAGATGCTTGGCAAGTGCAAGCCCGGGCCATGCTGCATGGTTGCGGTCCATGGCAACATGCTCCTCACCATGGCGTGAAAACAAATCATTGACATGTCATGGTGGGGATCAGTATATAGAACTAATTTTGGACTTTGCTTCCTGGTACCATGTCATGCCATAGGCATGTCAGCTCCTTCCAGTTGATCCGGATGTGAAATTGTGAGGTTGAGATCAGCCGGGCTGACTGGGATGATTGGGACTTGCACATAGCAGATTTGAACTCCACGTGGAGACCTGAAGGGACAAGACGGACTGTGACAAATGATGCTGGTTGAAGAACTGAGACACTTATTTTTGTAATTGGGAAGGGGTATATAGATGCTTAGTCTATAGTTATTATGTGTACAATCCAAGTTCTGAATACAGTAGATTAGAGTAGGCTCGTCTTTCAATTCTGAGGCAGCGTTCGTCTTTGGCCCGGTGCTTGTTTGTCATGTACGACACCACTCCTGGGTTTGGATCCGAGGCTTCATTGTAGCCGATGCACAATGACACAAAATGATTCACAATGTGTTCACCTTTAGGGCTGCCAGTGTTTCTCAAGGTTTGAAGGATACCGAGCAGTCAGCATAAAGAAGTACACGTGCCACTGCGAGTTCATCAAGGCTCTTCATCTCTTTTTCTTCCTCTGTCTTCTTTGCAAACACTGAAAAAACATGCCGGTGCAAGAAAAAAAAATTCGGAGAGCAGATTGCATGTATGCAAACAGAACAAAGGACATGCGGACGATGATCTTAACTTTTTGTGGTTGCGTTACATTGAATCTTTCGAGCTTTGCACAGGCCATGGAGGGTCAGTATGAAGATGAACAGGCTTGGCACCAATTAACCTTGGCCGAAGTGACCAACACATGGAGGAACCAGACGACGCAGGTCATGCTAGTTATTTGTGAGCTGTGTACTGGTGTTGGGATCCTCTTCCTGAGCTGATCTTGATTGGAGGCTGTCCAATACCACAATTGGATTCACGCAGCCAGTTTCCTTAGTACCATGGTGACATGCCGCAGACCACGAAGCTGATGGTTTTAGTGCGTGCCAGCGCTGATGTGTTTTACCATCATGGTTGATGACGTTTTTGTAGCATTGCTCTCTCTCTCTCTCTCTCTGCATGGCTCTTCCAGGGCAGTGAGGGAGGCTTCATGTCCCAGAACGTTACAGGTTACAGCTTTTGGGTGTTTTTTCCCTTGGCTGTTAGATGATGTTTGCATAGCCTTCCCTTGGGGGATGTGAGTGCTGTGACGTGTGAACGAATGACATGAAAGGATGCTTGATGCTTGTGAAAAAGGAGCTCGATGCTCCATCATCAGCATTTGTTATGTGTTTGCATGGGTTTCTTTCCTTTCAACCGTTGCAGTCGCAGACTCCAAGTTTTTGCCCTTCATGTTTGTTTGAGGTTGATGTGGCCTTCACTTTGCAACAGATATTTCGTCAAATCAACGTTCGGAAGCTTAGTCATGGGCGGGACATGGATCAGCTCAGCCCTGTCACCTGGCAACATGTTATTTCCTATAGTGTCTTTGCTTTGGACAAAGCTCATCCTGCTCATGAATCCCACTCTGCAGGGCATGGGCTACAGTAGGGACCTTTCTGCGTGTGTGAGGGAACAAGCAGGTCAAGCAAATCACTTGATCTACCTGAAACTACAACAGCCCCTGACATGGGACATCCATGAGGTGACGTGTTCCCATTGGGAGTGACCTGGATACTGGTACATTCCTAAGTTCATTGCTTCGACGACGCCGAGGCCGAAGCCTACTTTGCAACCCATGAGCGATTTGCGCAGAGACCCAGAGTTAGTACCTGAAGTACGCAATGGACGGGCCTTTTCTGTTTCAATACATGACCTACGTATAGTTAGATGCCAAAGCTGCGGGAACCCATGAGGCAACTCACATTGATGCACAAACGGGTCAACGTGCATGACACTGTGATGGCAGCATGCCCTGGCACCCATCAGCATTCGCTTCAAACACCTTGGATGAAGCGAAGGGGCTGATGGTGGCTGCCTTCGCACACGATGCAGGGAACTTTGGTGCGGGGCCCGATCGGGCGAATTCCAGAGCATAAAGTGGCCAGTGCCTTGTCAATCCGATGATTCATACACAAAGTGGAAGAGTTCCTGCGTATGCCATATCAGCTCTTAAGACACAATTGAAGTGAAGCCTCGTCGTTAAGTTGATTGGCCGGAGCTTTGCAAGCTTTGCTGGGGGGGGAAGTATCAGTACCCAACCAACACGGACAGATTGCTGTCAACCTTGGAGTCGGCATCAATTGGCAGGTGTGACGAATGGCTTCCTCAGCCAGTCTTTGCATGAATTTTCCCTCATGTACAATGATGTGAGCTGCCTGCAACATTTGGCCTGCGCCAAGCTGGGTGGCCTGGAAGGGGAAGGGCCTTTTTGAAGCATGGAAGTGTCTCAGGGGAAGCAACATGAAGCAACTATGACAGTGACATGCCTGAGAGTTGGCACGCTCGACTTCACGAGTCTATTTTTCTGCCAAACAAGATGGACAGTGCAGGCTTCGTGGTTCGCTCTGGTTCTTGGGACCCTCTGAGGCTCTTCCGCATCGCGTCTGAGCCGGGCACCTCGATCTTCATCAATTTCGACAAAGCCACCCGCCAGGATGTTCGCCAGGTGGGCAACCGACCGGGCGGAAAAAGGGCTTTGAGAGCCACGCGGACGGTGTTGGCCGTTTCTGCTCAGAGCGAATCTTTCAAGAGCCTTCAATAACTGAAGTAGATACAGTAGGCCAGAAAACATGACCTCTAGTCTAAGGCTCTAAGAGGAAGGTGAAGCGAAGTCATCCTTTCGTTTCGATTTGAATTCATGAAGCTGCCAGATCATCATATTTGCGATCCTTCATACAGATCCACAGTGCAGAGCCAAGCTATGCATATTGAAAGATGACTCGACAGGAAAGGCTGAAGTGATCTGCAGAGAGTTTCTTGAATGAGGGTGGCAAACAACATATGACAGGTATTGTTAATATGCATGTTTCCTGTGTTGGGCATGCTGATGAGGTGTCAGCTGGATCTTTTGGCACAAATGTGGCTCACTCAGGGAAGGCATTTGGATCCCAGTGTGCCCCTGTATAGAGCTCTAGTAAAAAGGGACTTTGTCAGAGATGTTTCGGGGGGCAGTGCATTCTAGTCCTACTGATTCTACACAATGCCTAGACCGGGCGGTGTAATCCCAAGAGCAGGAAAGGAGGAACCAACATGATCCATCAATCTCGTCCTCGTCTTTCATGTTATGAGTTATGAGATTGATGGTGTACGAAAGGAAAAGGACAGGTTAACCGCTGTAGGGAATTGACAGCCGCTGTGTCTGACTGTACTCGTTCTTGGATCTGGGCCCCCCTGCTCTTGGCCTGTGGAAGAGAACTTGGATGAAGAACTCGAGCCTTTGGTAACAGCCCAGATGTGTGTAGCTGGTGCTTTGAGCGAATGAAGCTGCTGGGGTCTTTGCAAAAGAGCGCTGAGGTGGACCCATTATGAAGGACGCAAGGAGCTCTTTGATCTGATACAGAAGCTTTCAAGGTGGGCAGGGACCAGGGAGAGACGGGCAGTCATCAGGAAGGTGACATCTGAGCAGGATGTGGAATGACATTTGAGACTCGGAGACTAGGCTGCTGACCTGAGATCCCGGCATGACTCGCATCGACATTTGAAATGGAATGTTTAGAATGTAAAGCGAAGGACCAGTGGTCTTTTTGCTTTGCGGCAGCAGATGTCAGCCGTCAGCATTGATCCGGAGATTCATGTTCTCAATGGTTTCTTTGGTTCGCTTTTGCTTGCGCATATTTGAGAGGCAAGAGCTGGAAGAGGGTGACAAGGACATCCTTTCGAAGGCACACAAAGAGGTTGAGGACAGAGTGGGGGAGGACACATCCTCTGGGTGTTGCCACGTCTAAAGTACAAAGAGTGGGATGGTGATGATGGCCATGAGACTACTTCTCAGTCAATGTGTACTCGTGGCAGGTGATTCCACCTTCACAACTTCCTTCGATAGTCTTGAAAGGTAGCGAAATACAAGAGATGTTTGCTGTCTCCACAGCCGCGATGCACGTTGCCATGGAGTAGACCATGGAGCTTGGTGTCAAACAGCGCCTGGAGGACTACTTCTGGAATGCAGATGTGAAGTATTCTTTGCGAGTACACCGGGCCTGTTGCGAATCCATGAACATGGGCGCTGCGAACTATACATAGAATACATGGATGACTTGGGTCTGGATCGCTCCAAGCAGGTTCATGGTTATCATGGTTCACGGATGGTTCACGGCTTCTATTGCAGGTCAGTTCAGCCGCAGAGGTTCGTCGTTTGCTTTTTGAGAGAATCTCGCGTTGCCAGAACTTGCTGCTTCACGTCGCAGACAACTCCTATTCCCTGAAGCCTTGGGAGGTGTGTTTACACTGGGCTGGGGTACCCAGTGAAACAGCACCATGGGGCGGGGCAGAGAAGTTCCAATTATTTGGCTGGGGCTTGACCAAGTAGCCTTTCCAAAGCACTGCCACACACAATCTCCGAGGCTACTGCACTTTCGGAAGAGTTCTTCAAGCAGGCCAGCAACAGATTTTGAGACCATGCCACTTGCACCTTTTGTGCCTGCTGTGGGCCCACTATCGAGTTCAACAGAGCAGCATGAGTGGGTTTGAAACTGCAACCATTTTATGACACGTGCTTTTCTTCACAGATCCGTTAGGTTAGATAGTTAGATAGAGAAGAATGAGAAGGAAGAAAAGGTAAGGGGCCCCTCTAAAGGGGCTCTTACCTTTTGTTCCTTCTCTTTCTATTTTTGGTCAAAGCCCTCGATATGTCAAAGCCCTTAGTTGCATTGTCAGGGCGACCTGGAGAGGAGCTACAAATTGCCAATGCAGCCGCTGAATGATCGTGCGCGGGTGAATGTGGCATTTACCCAGGCAGCACAGCAGATTTGGAAAAGGAAACCATGAGATCGCTGCCAAGGCTTATCACCTAAGACTGTATGGACGGTGTTTTCCTGAACTCAAAACCTGTCAGGTCAGCAACATTAAGCACATCATCATCCCACAGACCAAGCTTTTAGTGACGCTGTTGCCGAACTTGCGGAGCTGTCAACTGCTCAGCTCACCAAATCGAGCGCCATTGACGAACTGCTTCATTGTGGCTGACGAGTGAGATGTTGTGGATGTTGTTCTTCACCACATGTCATGGTCAGCACATGGTTTTGAACAATGATGTGACCCCGAGGCAAGAAGAACATGTGGCTGAACTTGCGAAGGCACATATTCTTGTCATTTGAACAGCGGTCATTAGTATTTTGATGTTTCTTGTTTGACTTTGTTTGTATTAGAGTGGCTCCACGAGACAACAGGACGAATTGAAGTACTGTCCCGTACCGCTACCTGGGATGTTACTCTTGCAGGATACGGCTAATTATGTACTGTACGAATCATATTGTTCAAGTTTAAAAGCCCATTCATTCGTCCAGGTCTTGAAAAGAGATACAGTTATATAGAAGCGGCCAAATCACAAGGAACGGACATCAAAGGAAGAACAATCAACGCAAGACACCTGATTTTTTTTGACGGACTTAAATGACAGCTGCCAATGTGAGTATCCGGAGGCTCATGATGATCATGATGGCTACTGGACCAACTAGTGTACTAGGAGCAAAGGGCATCGCTACTAGGAACAAGAACGCTACTAGGGGCTCCTGGCCTCACTACTAGGAGCAAGAAACTTTGAGGTTTAACACCCTAGCGATCAGGGCGGTAGAACAACTCGGGGGGGTCCTTTGTGCCCTTGGGTGGCGGGTCGATGGTAGTACGGCCAGGAGCCCCTAGTAGCGTCCTTGCTCCTAGTAGCGTCCCTGTGGTTCGTTGGATTTGTTCGGCACAGGTGGATCTCCAAGTGGAAGAAGTCGGGCCCTGACCACGATGAGATGAGCAGAGTTCGACGCCCAGGTCAAGAGTCAGCGTGCCAATGTCACTTGCTAACATTTGCCACATTTGCCAACTATTTTACCTGAGAATGGTAGAATCTGCTATATAACTGCGGCTTCCGAACTTTCGCGCGGGCTGGCATCAGGTCCTTCAGGAAATCAAGGAGTTGCGAGAAGAGGACTATTCTGATCACGAGGCTCCGACCAATCGAACTTGCCATCTAGCCGTGGTTCATGCGACCCATCACCCAGCAGAGCGGGAATGATTCCGACCTCGCAATTTGTTTTGGTTGGTCGACATCGTTTTTTCCGGCTGATGTGATGTTCGGTCCCGTCAGGAGGCCATGGCCGGCAAGGAGGCATCCAGTAGCTCCGAGGAGGTGATGCCGTTGCGTTCCGTCCCGGAGGGCTTCGAGATGCGGCGCCGCGCCTCGATGCGCTCCGTGAAGTCCGGACGGTCTGCAAAGTCCACGAGCCCACGAAAGGACTTGTCAGGACATGCCGATTGAGAAGTTGACAGGATACAGAAGGACTGATTGAAAGAGAGATGAGGATGGCGAGGATTTTGTGAGGATTTGTATCTTCTGAGCATCCCAACCTCAGGTAACCATTTTCGGGATGGCTTATTTAATACACTTCTGGAAGAGAGTTACATCCAAGAACAGTTGCAAATGCAGTGGTGTGGAGTTTTCAAGTTGCTGCCTTTCTATAAAGTTTTCTCTTTCATTCTCCTGATGCCATTCATCCCCAATCCCTGCTTTCTCTGAAACTGCCCACGTACATACCTGTTTAGAGTGAGCTTGGCTTTCTTTCTGCTTTCTTCCTTGGCCTGATGTACCTTTCTTTCCTAGATCCTGTCCACTAATTGAACTATTCTAGCTGCTATGACTCCATTCTGCTTGCTCCGATGCTTTTCTGCTATGCTTGGGACTGCTACAATTCTCGATTTCCGGACACCAGCCAGCATTCAACATTCAATCAGCCCTTCTAATGGCCCATGTATAAAAGATGGTTGTGACCCACTTGGCCTAATGGTTGCAACTGCACAACTTGGAAAGGTTCAGCCACAAAGGATGGATTGCAACCATTTGGCACACTTGGGCGGGCCGACCACTCGAGAGTAGGCTTTAAGCTGGGACATGATGCGATCTTCTGAGCCCATGATAACGAAGCATTTGGTGACTTCGAAACTGTGAGCCGCCAGAAAATGAGTGGTAACTCTCAAGAAGAGAGGTTTGCAACTCTGCAGATTCGATAAACAAATGCATGTGTCCGGGAGGAGAGCAGGGATGGGCTGGTTCAAACCACGAGTGTTATTTGCTTGTCTAATTAAGGTGGCTGTGAAGGTGTGAACGGAAGAGTACAGTTACAAACAACCTTCTGGCGGCTTTTTTGCAAAGTAGTCCCAAAGGTCACAATTACTCTCTCGGGCATCCAAAAATGTATCCATTTCAACGTGGGGTTGCCCGGAATTCATGTGGATCATGACGTTTGCCTGTCCAGACAGACCAAAGGAAGAGGCAATTTCAGCTGTTAGAGGCTCATGAAGCACCCACGAAAATCAGTGCGAACAGAACAGAGTCAAACATGTCAGACAAAGAGAGGCAGAGCTGGAAGGATTGATCTGGCATGTTCAGACTTCCTGAGATCTTCAATACATTCCGATACAGAGATACATTAGATACGTCGAGTTATCCGATTAAACTGGTTTGAGAGCAAGACCCTGAGAGTCGCCATGTCGCCGTTGGACACTGTCGGGGTCCTTTGCGGACAGTGACCAGCAAGTTTTTCTCCCGGTGCGAGAGACTGTGGGGACATCGCACGCAATGAGGTGCCCAACACCACTTGGAGTGCCATGATCTCAAAGGAGGACTGCATCAGGGTGGACCAGGTAGAAGTAGTTGTGTTTCCTCGCGATTCCACCATGCCATCTCTTTTTCCTTTGCATTCCCCTGGAAAGCCAGCATCTTTTGCCTCCTTTATGTTTGAGAGACACCTCCCTGGCCTTTGTACATGGAACATGAACTGAGGGAAGGGCACTGTCTGTCAGCACCGTGTTAGAATTGCCCTTGGTCAACAAATTTACTTACTGTCACATAAGGCTGGGTTAGGCCTTGTACTAGAGCCAGGCTGAAACCGCTTGGGAATATAGTACTCGTAGCATTGTCATTCCAATGAACTCCGTGATTCTATTGGCTAGGCTGGGCCGTGACGCAGGCTCATATGGACTCGTGCGATGAAATTGCTTTGCGAACTCTGTGATTCTGGGGTTGACGGCATTTGACTGGTCGAGCGCAGGACTGGCCCCCTAAAATGGCCGATGACGAGGATTCTCTGCGAATTTGCGCTGTGAGCAGCTTTGGGAGGGATAGTCGGGCATGCTCAAAAACCGTCCCAGTTGAGGTATCATCACGCACATTCCTTTCTTTTTATGTTCAGGCAGCATGGAAAATGGATGAACATTGTGCCTCATCGTCTGTTCCACTACAGTGAAAAGGTCCTGGAATGGAAGCTCTTGGCAAAGCCTCTGTGGGCAAGGCGGTTTGGCTGGAGGTGCATGTCCACTCACTGTGGCACACGCTGAGGAGCCTCTGCGATGGAAGCTGCTCGTGGTGGTGATCGACTGCAGCTATGGGCCGCGGCTACACAATCCTCCGAGGCCAGCTGTGGGGCGGAGGGGGGGGGGGCAAACAGATTGCCCAACACTTGACCTGACGTCCTAGTGGCTTAGAAGATGTGATCGATGACACATTTACGTGGTGGACCTAAAGTTCTTTCCATGTTCAGTCTTGTGGGCTAGTGAGGTTCGGTTTCACCCTGCTATAATGATACCAGATGGTACCAACGCAGGAAGCATGGCACATGCGAGACGCCCACTTGCCTGACATTGCCTGACTTTGAAGTATCACAGCCAAATAGCCAGAGAGCCAGCTTTAGCAACCTTTAACTTTAACCATAAAATTGATGAGCATCGTATTGACTTGGAGGTTCTCTTTGAAGATGTATATATTCCAAAATTGTATTCGGGGCGTATTTATGGCAATGTGCCCATGGGCAGAGTGCTTGTCTATGCTTGACTTTGAGCGAGGTAAGCTGTTTGGTTCTGACGTCTCTCGGTTTGTCATCAGGTCCATCCGAGCTCTGAAAGCCAAGCTGGCGGCCGCCCTTGGAATTGAGGCATGGCATTTGTGAGGATCATGGTGCAGGGTACATCTTGGACCAGCAGAATTCTTTGTGGGTATTCCATGGTACATTGGATGGGATTGGGAACTGATCGGAGCGTCGGATGGCCGCAGGCACTCTCGAAGCAATCTGGCACCAGTGGAGCCGAGGCTTGAATTGGACCGAAAAGCAGCTATGTAACTATGTCTAAGTAGCTTGTGAATAGCTGGATTTCTTTGAAAACATCGTTGCGCGACTCAGCAGTAGTGAGGAGCTTGCGGATGATGTGTCAATCGCTGCCAGTATGCCTCGAAGAGGAAGTTCTCTACCTTTGATGAGATAATGAAAAGGAGAGAGAGTGCTTGGAATTCTTTAACAGGGCCCTGTTCCATGGGGCCTTATGAAAGGGGTCCATGTTCACAAACCTTTTTTTCATTTTGTAAAAATGTATATGAATCTATTTATTTTCTAAATCCTTTTATGATATTATATGTATGTCCTTTTCACCTTCCTGATCTTTCCTTACTTTGCATTTGTAGAGGCAGCCTCTGCACAAGCGATTGTCACTGGCGTCGAAGGGCCGAAGAGACATCTCCTCGAGCAGGAGTTCTTTTTGGCACAACCGAATGAGCAGGCAGTTGCCTAATTTTGGCTTTATATGGCGATTTGGTCTCTCGCACCAAGCTGTTGCAGGCATCCCAATTTTGAATGACCACAAAATGCTTGCTACACTATGCTCGTGCATATATATATATATATGGACATGGAAGCGAGCATGCCCCAGTCAATCAGACATGCGCAGGACGACGACTTGTGTGGCTTTTGGGACCGAGTGTGGCGCTATGCTGGGTCAGTTGACCATCCAATCATAGTAGCCATATGCAAGTTTTTTAACCTCATGACAACAAGGAAAGTATGCTTCATGTGCAAGATCGTGTTTGATGTCTCGCATGTCTCAGGTGACGAGAAATCCTGGTCTCACAGAGGATCACGACGAGGCGGTCCTATTTCGTGCTAAAGCTGATGCTTCGGAGCTGGTTTCATGGAGGTATGATTCCAGCTTCCCCTGAGCTCGAAAGCAACGAATTACATGCCGACATGCCAACTCTTTGCAACTCTTGGTCGATGGCGATACATTCCTTGGTGGGAATAAGCTCTTACTCAACACTAGCTGCCACTAGCTAGCCTTACAAGGAAGACGTTCAGACGCCGTACCACCCACTGTCCTTGACAGGCCCGCCGGGCCAGCAAGGCTTCAAGCAAGGCTATGGCAGTATCTCAGCTGCCTCTACGATTGTTCATTGCGGCTGACGCGTCCAAGCTTTTGGTTGAACACATGAAACAGCTTAGCTTGGCTTCATGTCGGCAAGGTTCGGGGCACGGCCGGTCGTGTTCACGACGCCGAGGTCTATGCCTCTGTACCTTCTATGCAGAGCTCGTTGGCACAGCCAGCTACTTAGTGTGTTTGGCCTAGCTAGCTTGCCAGGTCTTTCTCCGGCTTATGATATCAAATAATATGTTGTCACCTTCTTTCAGCAGCCCATCCCACATCCATTCATTTCAGGGGACTTGATGGGGTCCTGGAACAAAGGCCCACATCCATGAGAAGATAGGGCTGATTTTCCCGCCGATTACAGTGATGTTGACAGAGCGGCATCTCTCAAGTTTGTGGCACATCCGCCTGGATGTTTTCATGTATGGTCCAAGAGGCTCCCCGCACATTATACAATTGGTAGCTCCAAGTATTGTTTCATTATTCTTTTTCATTTTATATATTTAATTGATTGGTAGCTCCAGGCTCTCTCGTTGCTTGCAGGCCACAGCATCGGCGGAGGAGCTCCTCTCGGTCCTCGCCCAACCCCAACCCAAACACGCCGGCGCCCAAGCAGACGACCGTTGTTGCTCATTGCTGCCCCTCACTCATCCACTGCTTACACGCCCACGATTTCGTCGCTTGAATCATTTTTTAATCTTCGTAACCTTGACCAGCAGTGGTTGTTGGCAGACGGGTGGTGAAGCACCAAATCTATGCAAATGTCAAATTTCTGTCTCAATCTGGATTCCAGCTTCCCGGAGATGTGGCACCTGAGGCCTTCCGCGACAGCCATGGGTGCCCTCTTCGGGACGGTCTTCTCCAAGTCGGTGGGGCGTACTTTGCTGAAGCAAACCATTCTTGTAGTGTATATTCAATCCAATCCCAAAAGCCAAAGTTCCTCAACAGTCTAAGTCAGGCTCCAAGCCTCCAGAGCACGGCACAAACAGCGCTGCCTCCGCAGCTGCCTCCTCAACTGCCTCCGCAGCTACCTCCAGCACTGCCGCCGTCGCCGGTGCCGCACGTCGCTGAGAGGGTGGAGGGCCCTCGCACTTCAGGCGCCTGCAGCGCCAGTTTCAGAGGAATTGGGATCTGGATGCAGTTTTAAATTGTTTCAACACTTTTTAACATTTAGAACTATTGCGACCTTAATTTGCTCAGTCTTGGTTGTGGAAATCCTGACACGAGTCGGACGAGTCGCAGCAGTTGTTAGCAAGGAAGCCTATTGACACCCTTGCGTATGGGGCGAAGAACACATATTGCTTCAGAAACTGCACCCAAATGGCGGTGATGGGGTGATTTGTTTCAGGCACCGACATAGTAGGTTGGAGGTCATCGCTAGTAGGTTGGAGGCCATCGCTATTAGGTTTCTAGAAAATCAAACAATGCATTCGTCTCAAACAGTCACTTGATATGCTCGAAGTTCCGAATTAAGATGCTTTCGTTTCGTGGATGTGGTAATTCATTTTTTACACACCTCACTGTGTTCTAGACCGGTGTTGGTTTGCTGATGGGTGCATGCTTTGTGGATAGTCTTTCGTACATAACCACCCTCTGGCACCCCACGATGTGGAAGGGCTGTTAAGGGGCGAACGTCGGATCGATCGCGAGTTGGTGTGGTTCCGTAAAGTCATTTTTCTCAAACAAATATATATGATTATATTCTTTTCAGAACACCTCAGCAGGTATTGATCTCTCTGCCTTTGAAGCGCAGATGCGGCAGCTCGAGGAGTTGGCAGAGCATCCATTGGCCGCCATGTCTGCCATCCAAGTTTTTTTTTGGTGGTGAAAACACCTCCAATAGAGTATCATCTACAATGTAGTATCATCTACAGATCTACAGCTGCTGTGACAACTGCCAGCTTACACTGGCCTTCAGCATCTGCGTTACAGTTGGGGAGTTGAGCTTGAAGTATCCCACATACACAGGCCTCCAGCTGCGAAACGGGTGGCCGCATAACCGTCTTCGCGGACTCCACAGGAGCGCTGCGAAGATGCAGAATTAAAGTTGGAGACCTGCCAGGGAGCCCGACCAGAATGTGCTCGACCAGAAATACGCTACACAGACTAGACATGATTGTCCCACCTGAGCTGTTAAAGGAATCTTTCCAGGTCTGTTCTGGATGTGCTGGTTCCACAAGGGAAAGACACATGAGCCACGTAAGCACTGCAACATTTACGTGAGGTGCATTTTACTTCTGCGACCGTTCTGTTAAGCACGTTTGGTACCGGACACCTCGAGACCACGCCGAATGGTTGCACGTTTTCTGCAGCCAAGCTGCGTGACTTATAATTGGTGTCTATTGAGCAACTCTGTCTCCAAAGATTAGTACCCTTTCAATGGATCTTTTTCGTATTTACAAGTGTGGACAATTTTGATATGCTTTGGCGCATAACACACTGGCCCACAACTTGAGACAAAACAAGCTGGACTTGACACTGAGCGCATCCTTAACCAACGGGCTTTGATCCGCTTCACCTTTTGAAAGATCTAACTTGTGCTTCCTGGAATGATCATTCCACACAAATGTGAAACAATCCCAAAGATGGCATCCGCCTTTCTGGAGAGTGGATATGCTTGCGGTCAAGATCTTGGCTTGGCGCTGGCGTTTGCAAACTCAAAACTGCTTGGAACCGGACCATCGTATCCTAGTAGCGTAAGGCCAGGAGCCCCTAGTAGCGTCCTCTTGCTCCTGGAGTCGGAGTGTTGGAGTGGAGCGGTTTCTCCAAGGCACGCAGCACTTGGAGAACTGCAAGGCGGAGCTTGAGGTTGTGGAGCACGAGCTTGAGGCCTAGAACGGGGAACTCGACCAGCACAATGCGCCTCCGGAGCTTCCAATGGAATCCAGTCATTTTGAGTCTTTCGAGTCTTTCGAGAGCCTTCCATGCCTTTTCTCTTAGGGTTTAGCTGGGGGTAGGTTGTGCAAGTAGTAGGAGGAGGAGTAGCAGGAGGAGGAGGAGGACGAGGAAGAGGAGGAGGAAGCTACTAGAATCTAGAAGCAAGCAGAAGACCCTGGCTCCGTGATTTTCAGGGAAATTAACCACAGTTCAAACATGTTCAAATTGTGTTGAAATCTGAAGTGCAATTCGGAGAGCAATTCCTGGTGCTTGGTGGTGCTTATATGTGCTTATACTATTCAATACCTGCACGCAGTTCTTGTGCTGCCAGGATGAGCGAAGAGCGCACACCGCAAGCGAGGCCGAATCAGGGGGCTTCTGAACTCGACCAAGACGACCACCACCATGTGTCAAATTCGGGGCAGATTCTGGACCTGGATTCCCAAAGAAAGCCTTGGTTTACTTTGCCAGCCACAACTCCCACGATTTGGCAGTTCAGCGAGTTGGACAGAACACTTGCAGGGCAGGAGTGACAACTGCTGGGCCCAAGCATTGGCCTCTGCTCTTAGAAACTGTACGACACGACCTCCAAGCATCTCCCCCCAGATTCTTTGGCCTTCTGTTTCGCTTCCAGGAGAGGATTGCCCAACTTGAAGACTTGAGTGCCCAGCTTCAGGTTGGGATGGAGTAGCACCGGCTTGAAACCGAAAGAAAGTGCTCCTTTTTGAAGGAAGTGCATGCTTACAAGGCTGCAGGCTGACCCACTCTTCCCAGAATTAGTTTAAGGGAAAGTCTACAGGAAACCCACCAAAACTATGGGTTTCCTGCAGATTTTTCCTTAAACCCATTCATTGAACTCTTTCATGAACCCTAGTGTGCATGGAAACTCCTTGGTGTTTGTGAAGAGAGGATGTGGCTGTAGCCTGTAGCTTAAAGTACCAGAGTGCGGGTGGCCAACGAACTGAGCTGCACTCATCACCAGTTGTTACTCAGTTGTTCATTGGAGGAGCAGAACCTGGGCTTCATCAAGACTTTCGAGGAGCAGATCGAGCCAGAGCCCCAGACCGCTCGAGTGACCGAAGCTGAAGAACGAAGGGGTCGACGGTCCTCGGAAGCTTGGCGTTTTTCCACATTCCTGGCTGAGAAAAATGAACAGATGCAGAATCGTGAGGATTCTAATGCCAAAAGCAGAACTGCCTTTCTGCCAGGCATGCCAGAAGAGAAATCAAGCTGGAGGCCCGCGTTCCGGCTGTGACGAGCAAGCATTGGGAGGTGTATCTGCTTTTGAACAATGACCGCTGAACATTTCCTGGTGTACAATCCATCCGAAAGAGAATTTCCCAGACCAGTCAATCACTTTCACTGCAGGCCCCCTGCACCTGCGTCACACACATTGTGCCTTTTGCGGCAGGTCCAAGAAAGCTATCAAGCTGTGCTCGACAGCCAATCCAAGAAAGTTCACGAGGACTGCGGTTGAGAACATCAAACATGTCACACTCAACCCTTTTTGTGTTGTTTTTGCAAATATGGCTCAATATCAGAGTCCTGTTTTCATTTGCAAGAGTCTGTCATGTAAAGTATATAAACCTTGCCTAGCCAGTCCCCAACTCGTGGAAGGCCGATGGGCAGAGCAAGAGAATAGAAGGGCAGCTGCGGGTGGCCGTAGACCTGGCACATTGATTTGGGACAACACATGACCTGCTTGATTTGATCACCACAGGAGATGGTGTTTCGAATCTCCTCTCGCTGTCATCAGGGCAATGGAGAGTTGGGGCTTGAGCAAACCCCTGTTGGACCTGATGCATCCCTCTATGACTCTACGAGGAAGCTTGCTAAGAATCTGCCAAGAGTTTGCGTTCCGTGTTGGCTTCCCTTCAGTGATAGTTTTGCCAGGTGGGTGGCTTTCTTGGATCTAGCATTTAGGAATGGAAACAACTCCGGCACACTCTTTGGCAGTCCAAGAGAACAGATTGGTGAAGGGCTTGTGTTATGCTTTTACTTTTGGGATTCCATTCGTTCATTTCAAGAGCTTGTAAACGATGCCATGCTCAGACATTACGTCGATCCCGCTTGTGGTGCGAACTTAGCCAGGAAGCAAAGATAAGCCAGCTAGAATCGGTGCGGCTCTCAGCATGCTTGGAGTTGCCTCAGAGTGATATGGGCATCCTGTATCTGGGGAAGCATTCATAAAGAAACTCTAAAAGGCCTCCCAGATTGATAGATTGATGAGAATTTGATGATCGATGATGATTGATGCACTTCATTGGCACTTCACTTTCATAGTCACTTTTTTTGATTCTGGCAATAGCCACGGCGCTGTGGCAGGCATTGCGAGTGGAACGTGGCAATGCGCAAAGATGTGAGGTCGGTGCTATTGAGGGTTGAAGCTCCAGCTGCCAAACTCTGGTGTTGGAGATTAGTGGACAAAAAAGGACCTTCGGACATGATGTGGATGTGATTGGCAAGAACTTACTCACTTGTATAATTTATAATGAAAATAGTATACAACAATATATTGTATATCAAGCAAGATGTGAAGTCGAAGTCCTTTGCATTTCCTTTGTGGTGTGCGGCGGGCCTGCACATGTTCTGGCTCAGTCCTTTGCCTGTTCAGGCTGCACTTGCAGGGGAGCATGCAAAGATCGAGGAATTGACTGCTAAAATCCAGAGCCAGGAGCAACCCGCAGAGTACTTGCTGATGGTTTGATACTGTCATTGATATCTCATAGCAACTGCCTTATATACTATAATCTACACTATATAGCTGGAATTGTAAAATGCACACACTGCTGGCATGTGTGCCTTCTGACCATGAGATTGTTCTGGTTTTCTCTCCAACTTGCTCCAAAATACATACAGGCTCACTGGCATGTGGTGCAGACAAGTGTCGGCTGATTCAGGCGGCTCGACTGCGGCAGCTGGAATTCTATGCCAACTCATGGTACAAAAAGGTGCAGGAGAGACGGGGAAAGGCAGGAAGGGTTGGGGCAACCAATTGGTGCCGAATGTTGATGGCGACTAGCAAACATTGTTCTTGCACCCAGCACATCCAATTTTGTCGCAAAGATTCATGAAGACCTGCAGGAAAGCCACCACCTGCCCCAAGGCTCACAGAACAAACTACTGTACTGGTATTTACACAGGTGGTTTGCGGACTCCCTGCTTGTAAGACCACTGCCCATAAACACATTTTTCATCAATGATATAATCACCTGCCATGGTGATTTCATCACTCCATTCAATTGTTCGCAAGCTCCCCAGAGCTTACCGGAGCTCCCTAGAGTCGGATCCTTTCTGTTTCGCTTTTGGAGTTGGCCGAAATGGCCTGTGCCTCTTGTGCCTTGGGCCCAGGAGTTGGCCGAGGTTTGTAGCAGCCGGGCCAAGGCCTCGGCGGCTGAGACGGCGTCGCGTGGGCCGAGTCGGCATAGAGCTGGCTCCTTTCTCGTTGCTCTTTGTACGTCGCCAACGAGGCGAGTGAGGCAAGCAACCGAGATCAACCAAGTAACCTTTCCAACGAAGTCAGCGCAGCATCAAATCTCTGCTGGCAACAGGGAATCGGAATATCAGTGAATCGGGGTTCACTAATGATGCCTGATGCACCAAACCGAGCAGTGTCTACTGAGGTGATCACCGAGCCATCGAACTTTTATGCGTCGGGGGACCAAGAGAAATCCAAAAGACCGATTTTGATGGTTCCGTGAAAGGAAAAGACATACAGACAACACATTCACTCCATCTGATTCATGCTTCGCTTGTTGGTTTGAGCATGCTGGTGTACCAACTGCACCACGAAAGCCTCCCATATGCACCACCAAAGAACTCAAACACTGCGTAGGTGCCCTGTGCAGTCACAAAGGCTCGCAGAAGCTCTCACGAAGGTTCCAATAAAGGCTCATTTGGATCATGCTGCTCCCAGGTTCACCATCTCCAACTTCACGAAAAAGTTGAAGTCTTGGCCAAAAGGCGGTTCTCACGTTCGGGGACAGCGTCGCGCACATGGCAAGAGAGCGACCTTGAAACGGTGCTCCGAAAGTCACACGTAGTTGTGGAGGGAACACAAGTGAAACCTGGCATACTGCCAATGGCAAAGGATTGTAAACAGATGTAAAGAGTAAATATAAAAGAGTGTCATTTCAAAAAGGGTCGCTATTTTTGGCTCCTGGAGGCCGCATGGTGCAAAGTCCCGAGTTCCAAGTCGAGGGGTTTGAGACTCAACCTGCTCCAGCTGTACTCAGACTCAAGATACTCGAGCTGCTTGTGTCTCAAGATTAGGGTCAGCATGGATCAGCTTAGCTTCTCACTTGCCGATGCACCACGTCACCACCCAAATTTTTGTATGACAGACAGATCTGAACTTTCCAATGGGAGGGTAAGAGTCAACATATAGCATAAACTCGTTATGCCATTGACAACAATGCTACATGTTCCCTGTGCAAGTGGACACCCCTCCCTTTTTGGGCTGTCGGCATGCACAACAGCAAGCGACGGTGGTGCTGCATTGTCGTGTGCCAATGAGGCTGGGGGAGACGCAGATTGAGTTCTTTCCAGCAGGAGAAGTGAACTCAAGACCTGGCTGGTGCTCGCTCAGGCTTTGCCATGGTCGGGTGACAGGGACCTGGTTGGCACAATTTATGTGGCTACCAAGATGGACAAACTGGAGCATTGAGCAAGCAGTTGGCAGAGAGCACTGACCACAGGCAAAGAAAGGCATGTATGAGTGCAACGAAGTATGCACCCACACTGCCGGCAATGTTGAACCTTCCAAGTTTGCGAAGCAATGAATATAGTATGCAGAGCAACCTCCAATTTGATAGAGTGTCTATGCTCATCCAAGGAACCTTTGCGGTGTTTCAGTGGACTCCTGAAACGAAGCGGGAGCCACGGATCCTGTTCACCGCTCCAGGCTACGGATTCCGGACGGCAGCCGGCTACGCTGGAAGGTGTGGAGAAGCGGGGTTCGTGCATCTGAGAATGGGATTGCCAAGATGCGGCCGTTTTGTGGCTCCAGCACTTGGACCTTGAACGGGTGATACAACACTTTTATTTTTATTTAGTTATTTTGATGTAATTTGCATTAATGTTGACCTCTGATTCATAAACGGGGGTGGCAAATCTCGGAATCTTGGTCTACCCTAAATAATAGAGTTATTCCCAGGTTCCAAGAAAGAATTTAAAACATAAATAACATGATCCCTTACTAAAACAAATACTAAAATGAAAGGGACGAGATAATTTAAGTTAGAAATGAAATGACCCCTATTTATATGTCTTTACTTCTTTTTGAAAATGTGCTAACTTGATTTAGGGTGGGTTTATTAATAAGGGCGGTAACTTGGCTAACATTGTTTCGGGTCCCTTTATTAATCATAGGTCAACATTAGATCTACTTTCGTATGCCTCTTATGCTAGAGTTTTCTAGAAAGATAACTTGACACAGATAGATAGACCTGGTCCTATATGTCCAATCCTCGGATGCTTTTCTGAAGGCTTTCTTGTCCACCCAGAAACTAGGTGGAGCCCTGTTTCATGGCCGGGGCTTGGGGAATCGCCCAAGCAGGATAACTGCCCAACCTTTGTCAAATCGTAGACCTGAGCAGATTTGCTAAAGGCAGACACCGTCAGCCTTCACCACGTTAAAGGTGAGGATCGGAGCAAAAGAGTTCGATGTGAGGGACGACCACTATGACTCCAAGCAATGGCTTGGAGCCTGGTTGGTAATGTTTTGGTGACTCTGAGTGATTGCTCCCAGCTGATCGAGACTCGATTCATGAGCGAACACTCTAGAATCTAGATTTCTTGCCTCCAAGGTCATCCCCTTTTTCATTTCCTTTTTGTTTTCAAAGGAGGGTGTGGGATGTAGAACGAACTGCTAGCCTCTATGGGTTGGATTGCAGCAGTGTTTGGCAGTCTTGATGTCCTTCCCAGCTCCAAGGTGGAACCGGTACGGCATCCAATGCTTGAACTTCTGTCAGGCCTCAGAGGGCGACAATACACCAGTGTTCGCAGGGCCGGTTCGAAAGGTTTGATGAGGCAAAAGGACAGCGCTTTCCTGTTTCAGCACCTTGAAGGAACATGAGAAAGTTTGCTGTTGAATAGCATCTCCAATTTGATTCTTTTCTTTGTCACGGCTGCCTCTGCAGATTGAAGACCTTCTGCTGGAAACCATGCCGGAGTCCAATACCGTGCAGCTGGGCATTCAGGCATGGTCAAGAACGGGGGGGCAACATCGCCGCACCAGGGATCCTATAAGCTGTCATAAAAGGAGTTTAATATAGTTTGTTATGAGGTTGGAGGCCATCGCTACTAGAAACCAAAAAAAAGTAAAAGGAAGAAAGGAAGGAAGGCCTGCTCTTTCTAAAGTAAAGTACGTTGCACACACTTCGATGCTCTCACACCTAGAGCTAGAGCACGAGCCCTTAACTGAGTCAACAGTAGACATATCTTTCTGATAGGAAACACGTGACAAATAAGATTTGGTTTCAAGACAAACACCATTCTCTACTGGTAGCATCTTGCTACTAGTAGCGATGCACCTTGCTACTAGTAGCTGAAGACATTAAGATGAATCGATCCTCCTGAGTTCGTCATATCTGGAAGGCATTTTGTATTTGCGTCACAGGGTGCAGTCAGCTGGTGTTGGTTGTGAAAGGACGTCCAGACCATGTGCTTTTTCTGTCTACTTGGGGTACGGCGTAAGGGTCCTCAAGTAGATTGCCTCCAAGTTTCCAAAGCTTCTGCAGTGACAGTGAAATAGATCAAAAGGTACATCCCCTCGTCATTTTGTTTGCTATGTTCCAGATATTTGTTTGAGAGTCAGAATCGACTAGGTCTCTTATCGAATGTCGGTAGGTCTTGGAGGTGATGAACAAGCCCTCGGAAGTTCAAGCCTCGGATCTAGTTCACTCACTTGCAGTAACTATCCACGTTCACTCGCTTGAGTCTCAGAGTGCTGTTCAGACTGTTCAAGTGTTATTTTGCTCTGGGTTTGCAGGAGCATTTTGTTTGCAAATCTACCAGGGTTGCACACAACCCCCCAGTGGGTCCATACAAGTCTGAAAACAAGTGTGGAAAAATGGTAAACTTTCGCTGAGCCCGCCCAAAAGAGCACAAGGATTTCGTTCTGTAACAAGGCTTAGCACTTGGCACTTGGCCTCTTTGCAACCTACATATATGCTGGACCAGGCTGAGCAGACACCATTCACCGGCTTTGTTGACGATGGCAAACAGGCCCTGTTCAACGGTCAGTCGAGCGGTGAGGTGTCGAGGGGCCTCTATGGCCTCAAGACTCTCGTAGAACTTTTCATCTACAAAGAGAGAGGATACTGTATACCGTATACCTGTTGGTTGGTTCCTGCATACAAGCTTTTGTAGCGCCCAACGTCATGGTGGCTCCTCCAAATATCCAAGCCATCACCGATGCAAGGCGGAGGCCAAGCCCCTGGTGCTCCACAGCCTTCGTCCAGGCACTGCTCCTCAGCCAGATCCTGAGCTGATGAGATGCCAGTCGCAGGAGTATAACAGTATAACAGTTAACATGTAGTCGCAACCCCCACCACGCTTGACTAGATACTGTACCTGTTACATCCTGTGATACCCTCACCCTGAAACAAGAGACTGTCGAAGGTACCAGAATGCTAAACTGAGAACACCCGTGCTTTGCGAAAGGAAAAGGCGGCTTCGCTATGAATGCGTGACTTACGAAGCAAAACGGATTTGTTCGTCTAGTCTGCAAACATCCTAGACTGTAGAACAGTGAGGGATCAGCCCAGGAAGAGAACAAAGGTTACTCGATCGGGTGAGGGCAACTATTGTAATAGCGGTTCGCCATTTTGACCAATGCTGATATGACAAGATGAGGCTTGTGCCTCTTCCGCTTGGCAAACATGTGTCGTCAAGCGACACTGTCGCCTTGACTTGAGGCGTCAAGCAGAGCCACGGCGGCCCTCAGTGGCCCAGGCAGGAATGGTTGCAAGAGTATGCTGAGGTCACTGCTGATGACCTCTCATGGTAGGATCATTGATGATCATTGTGAATATTGCGAATCTCAAGTCGTAAGTTTGATATATTTCATAGTGGGATGAATAACCAGCGGACTCAGGTTCCTGCCCGTCTCCCTGTGAGGTGCCAGGACCCCCACCAGCAGCTACACCAGCAGCAGCAGCTGCACCAGCAGCATTCAGGCTCGGGCAGAAGCCTTTCCAAACGGAGGGAATCGTTCTCCGTGGGGCCTAGCCACGAGAGAGAGAGAGAGAGCGAGAGAACGAACAATCTAGAGGACCTATACAATCAAATTGAAGCAACGGAGTAACACATGTTATTTGCTTCCATACATGTCGCATGCGATGTTAACATTTCTTTTGATTGATATTTCTGTTGCTGATTTGAACACGCATGAATCAAAACGCTAATTCATGCCTCGACATCCACGCAGGGAACCATCCAAGTCCCAGCTACCAAAGCCGGTCCTCGTCTTGGGATTCGATACTTCTGACAGAAGTTGTTGTATTCCTCCGGTGTTTTTTGTGCTTCAATGGCTCGTCTAAGGCGGCCCATGCAGTTGCTGCAGGGACTGCCTCCGCTGCTGCAGCAGCTGCAGCCTTCGCAGATGCCTCAAACTGGTAGCTGATTTGAAAACTCGTTTGAGTTGAAGAATGCAATATCACGCGATGTACACCCAGACAAGAGTTCCATCTCAGGCTCATGTAGGCTTATCAATAAAATCAAAGCACAGATTGTCCTTAGACTCCTCAGATGTGTTGAGACAAGCACGCTCATTGCTCCAAGAGTTCAAGAGTTCAAGAGTCCAACTTCTTGCAAGGCCCAGCACCATCAGAATAACCGGTACGAATCAAATTAATCATATGGTTTCACTTTCATTTCTAGTGGATGATTGGACAGAATCAACCCTTCTTCTAATGAATGAACCATTTAGATTCACCCTGTCGCCCAGGCCGCTGTCAAGAGTGGGAACTTGCCCCCGGCAGTCGCCGTGAGCAGAGGTTTGCACAGGTGGGGTGTTTCGTGCCTGCTGTCAGAGTCACGACCCTTTTTGTTTCTAATAGCGGTGGCCTCCAACCTGCTGTCATTGAGCGTGCTTTGGAATTTCATTGTCGGACGTGTTCTGACCCCTTGACAATTGACAGTGCACGGACATCTGAATCAATTGTGTCAATGAAAGCTTTTGCTGCTCAGTGTTGGCTCTGTTGAAGTTTTCAAAGGTTGCATTTTTTCTGCAACCTATGTAACCTATGTATGATTTGGAGCATGCAATTGCAGGCAACGCAGCCTGGGTGCAATGAGATCAAATAAAGTGACTTGAGAGATCAAATAAAGTGGCTTCTTGGCTTCTCGACGTGGAGCGTCCAAACAGAGATTGTTTGTCGAGTCTATACAGTCAACACATTGGCTTCGTCACATTGATGCTTTTGCCATGCATTCCACTTCTTTGAAGCCTCCTGCGAATGCTGAGTAACTCACACTCGCAGCAGCATGGTTGCAGCGAATTGTTTCACTAGGGGAGGATTCTGCCCGGATGCTTGCAGAGCCGCAGAAATGCATCCACTGAACACTCAGAACGACTTGCTCCCCGGCAAGCACGAAACATCGCAGTCCTTCTCCTGCGCGCTTTCCCGCGCAAGTTGGGCTACAAAGGTTTGGCTCACCGTTGGCCCGGACCTGCAGAATGGCTCAGGTGAAGGCCCATTGAAGCAAAAGGATACAAAAGGCAGATAGAGGTTTTGATTGACCCTGGCTTGATGGCAGGAGCAGAGAGAATTCAAAAGGGAAGAAGCATCATTATCATTTCAGAAGATTAGAACACTATAATCTATAATATAAGACTCTTTAAGGGGCCCTGGTCGACCCATTTTGGCTTTGTCATGTATTTGCATATTCCATATCCTCATGCTCTCTATTCTTGCACTGAGTTTTGCATGGGCTTTGCCAGGCCATCTCGGCTCAAACACTAGGAGTCGGTAGTGGTGGCTTTTTGCTCTGTCGGCACAGCTCTTGGACAGTCAACTGGAAAGGAGGTTTAGAATGGTTTAGATATACCTTGAATCTTACACCTTTAAAACGTGGCTTGCTTCGAGTCCTTTGTGGTATGAGCTGATTCGGCCTATGTGCACAGGTGAAGATGCTGAGGGGCCTTAAGAATACGTAAGTGCCCCAGAGATTGCCGGCAGTAATGTGCCTCCACTCGAGAGATCTTGATTGAGAGTCGATAGAACCTCCTGTTCTTTGCTCAGCCAGGGTGCAGAATTCGAAACAGGGGCTCCGGCGTTGCTGAGGTTGTCCAGATCGGGCACTGGCAATGGCTATGCTGCTGGAAGCGGAGCGCAAGGAGCCTCCGTCATCAATGCCAAGGTACCTGCCAACGCAAAAGAATGGACAAACAATAGGCATTGAGTTTTGTGGGACGTGACCCAGTGACGACTGACTACTCCGTTATTCTATGTTATTCTAATTACATATTTTTTGAAGGATGCCTTGACAATATGAAGGGTTTTGTGCTGGCTGAGGATAGCTTGTTGAGTTTTTTTTGGGATTTACGTTTCCCATGTCTGACAAAGCTGGCAGTTATCATGAGCGGGCTCTAGAATGACTCTAGACCTCATGTTGAGATCTCCTCTGAGGCTGAGGGCAACGAGACTGCCCTTGCCAAGACAGAGAACTCCAGGAGTTTCGTTTGAACATCTGTGAATGGCTTGGTAAGATTAGTATAGATTAGGAGTTCATTTTTAAAACAAACACATTCTTTTTGGGCCAAGTCCAAGGCCGAAAAGATGAGCGCCCACAGATCGAACAAACAGATTATCGCTGACAATCATAGGATCTGTACTATCAACAACCCTGTGCTTGAGAGGACAGATGCAGACGCCACCGGGAAGGAGATTGAGGCCTTTGGGAATGTTGAAGGATCAAAATGAAAGCTTGAAAGACTTCAGTCGACCCATGCCGACATAGGCCCTACCTTGGGAAATTATTTCAAGATGGGAGTGACTTAGTGAAATATTTTTTTATTGAAATAAGTATACAACTAAACGTATTATTCCAAAACCAATCTAGGTGGTGCTAGCAACAAGATAGGTGGTGCAGCATGTGATCCAAGATATTCCGAGTTGTGGTGGTGGGTCCGCACCTAGGTGGTCTCATCTCAGATCTATGTTGGACATTTTATTTTGCACACAGTCTCTCAGTCCATAATTTCATGCGGTTAACTTCAACCAGTAGAATTATATGACTGAGGTGGGTGGTACGGTGGGTGGTTCCATGGTAGGGCGTATACGTCGATCCTAGTTGAATTCCCCAATATATATTTGCGCTCACCTTCAGAAGCACTGAGACGCTCAGCTTTGCACAACATTCACAACCAGGTTTCCTCCTCTCTTTCTTGGAGCTTCGAGGACTGAAGTCCATCATTTTGGGTGGATGTGCAAAGGCAATAAAAGGCACACCATTCCCTTTGACTTTTTTCCAGCAGGAGCAGTGGACGTATGTCGAATCCTTGGGAGTGTGCAAGTTGCCTGGGGAGGACGTGGCACCGGAAGTTGTGCAACGGGTCGTTTTCAGCCGTTTTGTAGCTATCGTGTGCCATGATGGCCTGTTCAAAGCTGCAAGCCCATCCGAAGCTAACGTGCTTAGTGCACTTGATTTTGTTTGCGGAGTATGAATTTGCTTTCCAATCTTTGCAATCGATGTATCAGATGTTGATTTTGCCCTTCGGAACTTCGGGCCACTCCCTTCTGCAGAATCGGATGTGGATCAATGGCCAGTGACCCTCGAGCGTGCCATGCGCACTGGTAAAGAGCCGCTCTCGCATGACACCAGCAATGTGAACGCGGGCTGCACCATGATGTTGCCATCTTTTAGCATCTTACCTGGTGAGTTTGTCGACAAATTTCGGCAATATCAAACCCTATCTTTCAAACCCGGATGGATGTTCGGTTTTTGTTTATCTTGTTTCAATGTCCCGCGCATGTCTGGATAAATTAGCAGGGACGGGACGACATAGGACGAGGCACGGATGACTTAGGCTTTAGGCCCTGAAGTCACATAAGACTTGTGGCATGTCGGCTTTTGCATGAACCATCCAAGCTCCTGCGATCGGATTGGATGCTTCGGATGCTTCGGATGGCAGGAGCACATTTTGCGCTTTTTGGCTGATAGCCTCACCGCCTCACCCCTACCGGCCCCGTGGGCTGGGCCCTCGGAGTAGATCGGACCTGAAAGTGCGCCGACGGACTTATTCTGGAGAGGTGAGGGGGAATCGTTTCAGTGGCTCAATTCTCTCAAAGGAATTGGACAGACAACGTTTGGATGCACAACATCCCTTTGTGTCCCATAGCACCACCTGCCGGACCTGCCAGAGCTCTTTCTTCTTCGCAAAGGCGATGCACCGGGATGAAGAAGGCAAGGTCTTTTACGGCAACACCACCACTGGGGAGACCAGATGGGAGCATCCACTCGAGGCGAGGCGGCCGGTTTCGTTGGCACATGGAGCGATTGCAGTTTGACCGCTGAAGAGATGGAAAGAGTACTTCAAGAGGCTAATTAATTTTTTGGTTTGGAGGTGTGGAGCGCTTTCTGTAGGTAAGCAAATCCGAGAAGTGTGCAGCTTGAGGGTGGGTTTTAACAAGCAATGCTATATCAAGCAATAGTGACACTCCAAATCACTCCAATATGTTCTAACAAAAGTGGTATAGATACACCAACCTTCAAAATTGAACACACTTATAGTGCCATTAGGATGTCTGTGCAACACGGTACTACACATGAATTGACAAACAACCATCCATCCGACAGGATGTGGTCCGCGAACTTGCTGGTGTCTGCAGAGCTACTGAGCCGAAGAACTGGAGAACCCCGGGAACTGTCACTGCGATGACTTCCACGATGGAAACCTTCAATGGGTTTTGCGACGAACATTGGAGCGTACTTGCACCCATGTTGACGGAACCAAGCAACGTTCTTGGCCGGATGTGACAGTGTTTTTGATTTGTTTGTCAGGTTTGCGTGTCCCTCTCACGGGCAATGAGAGAACGCTCAATTGCTGACTTGCGAGAGACATGGGAGGTTCTGACTGAAGCACATTCACAGCATCCAGATCAGATAATAGACTGCCAGATAGAACAACACACAACGGAGAATCTAAATGCTGCACACAATCATATACTGTAATCCTAGCGTTGGTGCTGCGTTTGGTGTTTTGCTGCATAATTAGTGAGCAGTCGGTGTATTTGAATAACTTGTCTTCCACTAAGTCACTAGGTCCTCATGAGCTCATTGCTGGCTTTTCAGGGTAATGTGCTTAGCGAATGTGGTTTCGCAATGCAACCGTTTGGTCAGGGCCATGCAAAAGAGGAGTTTGCTCAGTGGTACAGCGTGAAAGACTCTTCAACCAGCAAAGAGCATCTTGGCTGCCTTCCACAGCGTCCCTGGACAAATATGGGGGTTGTGCTTTGGAATAATTACTTATACTGTATATATATATATATGTATAGATTCTCGATGATTCTCGAGGTAAAACCCTAGTATTTCCATCCTTCTACTTTTCATTTTTACATCTCCCTTTTCCTTGTTCTTTTCGTTTTCCTGTGCCCTTTCCTCTCCTGTGAGAGAGTAACACGAGCAATGCGACCATGAAAAAGTAAATAAATAAGCAAAATCCAGACGTCTGAAGCCTGTTGTTGGCACCGATCTCCCATGTTGGTGGCAGAGCACAGCGCACAAGCCCGCCGAGTTACTACTGCAACTCCCTCACGGGCCAGGCGCTGATCCATGGCACCCTGCATTTTGCTAAGTGGGCTAATCGCCAAAGTTATATCCGCATGCGTACAAGCTACTATATTCTGGCCAGCTGAGCCAAAAGTTTTGGATCCAGATGAGAAACCGGCATGGCCCCAAATTGAAGCATCTCCAAAATTTTATCCAGCTGAACTCTTGAGCCCACTCCCAATCCAGGGCTCTTTCAACGGATAAAGGAGTTAAGGAGCGCAGTATTCTGGTAATGATACGTGCCAGACAATGTGGGAACATCCTGCAGAAGTTCTGCTGCCGGCGTGATGCTCAGCAGTAGAGTAGCAGAATTCTTGTTCCTAGTAGGGATGTCAGGAGCCCCTAGTAGCTTCTTGTTCCTAGTAGCGATGCCAGGAGCCCACATGAGTGTTCGGACGGTTCGACTTCGTTTGTTTTGTTCACCAACATGTGAACATGCCATGGCTGCGATGAGAAGACTCGGACGCTGAGGGCCACTTCCTGAAGCTGAAAAGTGCCGACAGGCGGGGCCGATATCTGAGATCCGACATCTCTAAGGGGCTCATTAAGCCCTTAAAGCTTTTGCCTTCCTTTCTTGCCTCTAGGGGAACTTCTCTAGAGTTGGGATCGGTTATGCCCAGTAGGATCTAACAAGGTGAGGGCGATGCTCTTGGGTTTTGGTGCGAGTGCTACACAGAGGTGGGAGCATGTATAGCATATATATATATAGGTATGTATATATATATATCATATATATGTATATATATTTACCAGGCTACCGCCTGCAGCCGCCGACCCCTAAGGGATAGAACCTTAGCGCTAGCCTTGCTCTATGTTAGCCTTAGCCTTAAGCCTTAGCCTTAGCCTGGCCTAGCCTTAGCCATAGCCTTAGCCTTAGCCTTAGACTTAGACTCAGACCTGACTTTTTTACCTTTCCGGACCCGGGGTTTGTTGTAAAAGGGAGTTGTAGGATTTCCCAGGTATGCGTAGAAAATTGCGAACCTATTTTCTTCCATTGTTGTAGAATTTTCTAGGACTTCCTCTTGTATTTAGGTTCCCAGATTTCACAAAAGATGATTAATCTATTGTTAACCTATTTGATTCTAGTGTTCCCGGCAAATGCCCTGGAATTTTCCTAGGAATGCTCTAGGCTTTGTTTAGATTTTGCGCTGGACGAGGTCCGGCCAGTGCCCGTGGTAACGTGAAAGGCTCTGGTAAGATTTTCGCATGCCTGTCAGGCGCCCGTGTCCGCGCCATGTGGCGTGTTGGTTCTAGGACGGAGCAGCGCAAACGGAAGCTTGGGCAGGTGGTGGCGAGGTTCTCGCGCCAGCGAGGGAAGAGACCGTAGCCATGTACATGCGGGTGGACTTCTGCTGAACCATTACCACCAAAGCAGGTACCCAAAAAGTCGACTCAGCGCCCGGACTTGTGCTGAATCGATCGGTTTCTCGCGATGACCCAACCCATCCTCACCAAAGCAGGTACCCAAAAAGTCGACTTTTTGGGTACCTCCCAGATTTACCATCGGACGTTATCGCTTGCATGAACCCCGTGATGCTGAACCCTTCTCCCCATAAAGGATATCATTGCCTAAGAGTCCAGAAACCATCACCACAGCAGGTACCCAAAAAGTCGACTTTTTGGGTACCTCCTAGATTTACCATACGTGATCTCTTGCATGAACGCAGGTACCCAAAAAGTCGACTTTTTGGGTACCTCCCAGATTTACCATCAGACATCATTGCCACAGAGTTCAGACCCATCACCACCACAGCAGCTACCCAAAAAGTCGACTTTTTGGGTACCTCCCAGATTTACCATACGTGATCTCTTGCATGAACGCAGGTACCCAAAAAGTCGACTTTGTGGGTACCTCCCAGATTTACCCTCGGACGTCATCGCTTGCATGAACCTCGTGATGCTGAACCCTTCTTCCCATAAAGGATATCATTGCCCAAGAGTTCAGACCCATCACCACCACAGCAGGTACCCAAAAAGTCGACCAGAGTTACCGTGCGGGATCTCTTGCATGAACGCAGGTACCCAAACAGTCGACTTTTTGGGTACCTCCCAGATTTACCATACGTGATCTCTTGCATGAACCCCGCGGTGATGACGATGCGAGCCCAGGACCATTTTGGACCGTGCTTATTTTCCCGCGCAGGTCGAGACAAGAGGACATGCAAGAAAATGTTTGGAAAAGCACCTCCTAACATCTAGTCGAAAACGTCACAAAATTTAAGTGCGGCCAAGAGTATTCCTAGGAAAAATCAAGGGCATTGGCCGGGAACTAGCAAAAGGTTACCAATTTTGAGGGGAAATCTGGGACGCTACAAAAGCCTTTGAAAGTTCCATAGGTTAGCAGGGAGAAATCTGGGAACCTAAAAACCAGAAGAAACGCTAGCCGAAAACATAACAAAATCTAGACAAAGCCTACAGCATTCCTAGGAAAATGCCAGAAAAGCCTTTGAAAATCTCATAAACCAACATAAAACGTGACAAAATCTACGAAAAAGCAAGGGCATTGGCCGGGACCATGCCGCGACCAGCCCGGGATTCGAGCCCAGGACCATTTTGGACCGTGCTTATTTTCCCGCGCGGGTCGAGAGGGTGCCCCAAGATGTAAATCAATTGGGATGGCAGAATCTTGGACAATTCCCGGGTCGCTCAGGTAGCTTTCAGGTCGGGATTTTCGTCACTGCAACAAGGGTCCGGAGGGGTAGGGGAGGTAAGGTCTAGGTCTAGGTCTAAGGCTAAGGACTAGGTCTAAGGTCTAAGGCTAAGGCTAAGGCTAAGGCTTAAGGCTAAGGCTAACATCGACAGTCACGCCTCACCCCACGGTGTGGGGTCGGCGGATATATTTTTTTTCGGAGCAGCAAAGACAGGTGACGAGTGACGAGTGTCAAGGGAAAACAGCTGTTTGCATCCGGGCCAATGTCTCAACAGCGTGGATGGGCAACACATCATTTTGTATTTCTACGCACTATGCAAACCCTGAAACATCATTAACCCCACTAAGATGAAACACCACAATGGTGCCAAACCATGAAATCTGGTTCCACATAGATGTGTGTTTTTGTGGCCCACGCTTGCCGAAGGCTTTTAGATGAAGCCTACCTCCAAGACCTTGCGTCCCTTGGCACTGGCCTTAAGTCAGACACCTGTAATTCGAGAACATGCGGTTAAAAAAGTCTTTTGTTTTCCATTCAATTCTGTAATTTTTTTTCTTTAGACCTTCAGACTATTTGCGAGTCGCAAGGAATGTTTTGATCAAAAGATTTGTCAATTATAGATTGGAGAAGGGAATTCTTCCACGTTATGACATTCGTCCATGTTCTATATAGTGTGACCTGAAGCTTGCCAAGTAAAACTTGAATGCCCTCGATTGCGGCTGACGGCAATAGGAAGCACCCTCAATGCGAGCACCGGAAGAAGTTGGAACTTAATGAAGCGCACGCCCTGAGCTCAGTGATTGGTCGGTGCTTAGACCGGTCTCTCCCCGGGTCGTCCGATTGCCCATGCAACAGAGTTTTGTAGTGTTCTGTAGAGCCCCCATCAAGCAAGGTTCAAGGCCGGTGCAAGATTTTGTTCAAGGGTTCTCAAGTTCAAGGCACTACACAAATTTCGTTACTACCTTTTGTTTTGTGGAGTTAAGCTGAAACTAAGTGATGCTTGAACAATTATTAGCTTCGATAAATTATTATATAGGCAAGACAAGAACCACAGCAACATTTCAAGCAAGGTTGATACAAGCGACTCGCAAGTAAAAGACAAGCATCAATGCATGTAGAGCGGGACAAACTCAAGGTTTGGCAAGTGATACTGCAACGCATTCTTCCACCGGCCAAGCCAAAGGGTTCTGTGGAGGAGGGTGCTCTTGACATTGTGCACGCAGTTGCACAGAGTACAGCACGAACATATTCAGAGGCCATATCTTTTTAAAACCGAATCTGCAGTTTTTCTTTCTTCATGCAAGAGCGGCACAACATGTGTCGAGGGCCGGCGCCAAGAGAGGTTTTCCTGAAAAGGTCTTTTTCCTGAAAGGAGTTTTTTTACCAACAAAATACACCAACAATGGAGAGGAAAGAACATCACAAGGAATCACAAGGGCCCTTATTAAAACCCTTATGAAAGTGCCCTTACCTATCGTCATTTTCTGTCTCATTGTTTGCGGGAATGGACCGCCACTTGCAATTTGGTCTCGTCTAAGGCTCGAGTCCAATGCTTCCGCATCCACGGAGGCGTGTTTGGCCGTTCGTTTTGTCACGTTTTGGGGGAAAACTGGCAACACGGTTGTGACACAATATATAGTAGTTCGCTTCGCTTTGTGAACCTCGAAATCAGTGAGGACATGTGACCTTGCCCAAGTCGATTTTTATTCAAGGAAGATTCAAAGAGTTGAGAATCGGCCAAGCTTGCGATTTTTATCCGTTTACAGCAGGATCGGCTGCGCGTTTTCTTGAACTTGAGAAGACATCATTGTCACCGGTTCTAGTTGTACTTAGTAGCAAAGACGCTTTGTGTCACTTCATGTCACTTCCGTAGAAGGGTCACACCGAGGCTGTTTGGATCCGTTCTTTTGTTGTCGTGGCTCGGGTGGTAGAAGAGGATGACGTTGATCACCCACAACCTCAGGCTTTGCATGTAGACATTTGACATGAAAGCTACTCATACTAGAACTGTGTGCTTTGCTACAATCGTCAGGCCGGGTTGAATGAGGAGTCGGCGAAGGCCATAAAGGAAGAATTGGCGACTTGTCATTCACAGAGCATCAGAGGGACCTGGATTGAAGTCAGTGGCTAGTGTGCACGCGTTTGGAGCTGCTGAGTGAGAGATTTGTCACAAGGGGTTCTCGGGGGAATAGCTTTCCGTATTTGTCATTTAGCCAATACTTGCATTGCAATCTTTGCCAATCTGTAGCTGTGTGTCATCCGGTGTTTCGACTTTTGGATACTTTTGGTGTGTTATTGCCCCGGAGATGTTTCTGTTAAGGCCATGAGGAACTTGGAGCTGCAAGCAGCACGAGAGAATGAGAAAAAGGCTTGGTGGCGGTTGAAACGTTCCGATCTGTGGGGCATTGACAGTCAGATTGATTCAGTTCCATTGGTCACCCCGGCTCCTACACTACGCCACCGCGCAGGTCAAGGCTGACTTTGACGCCCTTGTCGCACGATTTGAGGAGCACAAAAAGCAGCTCAGCCAAGAGAATATTATATATTACATGATGTGAGCTGTGCCTCTCTCTCAATCGGCTGCAAGTAGTACTTGCTTTATGTAACAAACACTAAACAGCTGAACATTTGGAGGATAAAATAAGCCCATGATTTGTCGACACGTGTACCGGCCAAATCTGGGTACTGATAAGACACCAGATATCCACCAGGACAAACTTCTGCGGATTCAGCGGTGGGTAAGCTACCCACAACAAGTTGTTTAAATCCTTCCACAACTTTGGTGACGCTTTAAGCTCGCGAACCGCTCTCTGAAACAGGTCCATGTCTGAATCATCCAGCAGGCGCAAAGAACTTGAGGCGCATGCGGTTAAACTGACATCCTGCTTGCTCTACAAAAGGCTTATCAAGTACAACCTTGCAGATGAGGTCCAACAGCGAACGTTGCAGGTGGTGCTTGTATACATGGCCTCCTGCCTGTCAGGCTGAGCTCTTGCAGGAGCAACAAAGATTAGCTTCTGCATGTGGCCAAGACAGATTGATGAAAAGTGCACAGCAAGTTGGAGAGACTGTCTGGAAGGAAGAATAACATATGTACCTGCCATGGTTTCCATGTGTTGGGCACAGGTTCCATGTCTTAGGGACAGGATCTTTGCATCAGAGAGGATCTATTTCTGAGAAGGTTTGACACTGATAGCTGGCTGCATAAACTGGAGAGGACAATTTGAGTATTGTCACCCACCCCCACCTTGGACGTATAGCTCCGCAGTTGGCAACTTCCAACAATCACGGACGAAGAGTGCCGATTTCCCGAGGCCTTGTCAGAGTGTGAAGCCTGGAAAAAGCAGGCGGATGCTGTTTTGGTAGTCCTAGTGAGGCTTACTTCAGGCATCGGAGAGATTCAATCCCTGTTGGGACATACTGAAAGCTGCCGCACCAAAGCCTATGCAACACTGCTATCTGATCCATCTGAGGATTTATTTTGAATCTATTGAAACTAAAGATTTTGTTGGTTCAAGGTGGGGCTGCTGGGCGAGAACCTACCTAGAGCCTAGAGTGTTTCCTTTTTTGTTTTTAAAACAACACCAACGACCTTCGAGCCACAGGCTCAAATCTCCACAGTTTGGACAATTCTTTCTGTGAAGGTCACCACAGTCGCAATTGCCCGTCAGACGCGTCGAATCTTTCATAGGCGACCAGCAAAGACTCTGCTGGTGCGGAAGCGATGCAAGAAAGGATTGCCTTGCAGGAGGGCTGGGCTTTGGAGCATTTGCGAGACGTGTGGGGTGCTCCTTTGTTCTGGCATCCTCCATCACAGTGTGGGGTAAAGTTAAGTGACCTTTTGAAGTTTTTATTCTTTTCTGCCTCAGCAGGAAGCTGTAGGGCACTCTTCTCATCGACGACATCTTTGCTAGAAGATACTGTTGGGTTGCACGGAGGTTGAACTGGATGCACAACGACAGCGAGCAACAGAGGCTTCGGGGGGCTGGAGCAATGCTTCAGCGGATTTCGTGTCGAGGGGCTGAGAATGGGCGTGTGGGAACCGAAGGAGCGAGCGACTCAGCAGGAAGCACTTGTTCCTAATAGCTTCTTGTTACTACTAGTAAGGCACTTGTTACTAGAAGCGATGCACTTTG